GTTTGGCTGCTGCATAAATTCGTTTGCTCTGGGGCCATCCTTCCTGAGCTAAGACAAAAATCTGTGAGCTGGAGGCTAAAAAACTCTGAGCCAGCTCACAGTAACTCAGCTTAGAGGGAACACTGGTTCCCACCTTGATTTGCCATTCCTGCAGGATGGCTCTAAAAGAAGACTTCTGATCTAGAGTCAAGGCTACCTCAAGCAGGTCTCTGGAGAGATGGAATATATACCTGCTAAAAGAATGGGACAGCCCTTGGCGTGGCGTTTATTTCTTCTGATTCACATTATTGATCTGTCTTACAGTTTCATGTAGTCTGTATTCCTGGTCAGTGGGAAACGTGCCTTACAGCAACATTGTTAGTGTGCAAATGATTGGCCCTTCTGAAGAAGCACCCCCACACACACACTTCCTAGGCTAGGCCTTGCCACTCCCCCATAGCTCATAGAAAAGCTCTTGTGCAACAGCAGTTTCCTGAGAGAGGGTTGGTGGAAGACATTGATGGAAAGGTTCAGAACTGCCCTGGCCACTGTAAAGGGATTTCCAAGGCAGGCTTCCATAGATTGCCAACTCCATATTGGGAAATGCCATTGTGGCATCATTACAATGCTCCTTTTTTAAAAAATATTGCTCCTGTTGCTTGACCAAGCAGCCAGTGGGAGCCTGGTGGCAGGTAGTCTCCTGCTATAGAGAGAGATCTGGCCACCCTGCCCAGTAAGTTTCTTGGACACCTGGCTCTCCTGACACTTTTAACCGTTACACCATGCTGGATCTTTCTTAGGACCTAAGCAGACATGGCGAGTACACTGCTGCCTTTCCCCATGTCCCAGCCCTTCCCCATTTCCACATTATGGCTACCTGAATGCAAAGTGAGTTGTTGTGACTGTGCTCTGAATTGCCCTGCAGTCCATGTTGGGACTTCATATATAACGTTCTAGATGTTCCAAAGTAGAGCAGGGGATAGACAGATGCCTCTGCTGTGCCTTTTGTAATGTCTACTTAGATCCTTAAAAGGAGGGTAGAAGGTCATGGTCTCCTATGCTGCCTGTGCTTCCAGACGTCCTTTTGTGCTCAGCTTTCCTGCAGCAGAATTTATTCTTTTTAAGGCCAGTGAGAATGCAGGACTGTTTTAGGACAGGGCCTAGCTGCAGTGAACAAACCGTTCCCTCCAGAAAAGAAGACCACTGTCTTGAATCTCCCCAGACTGATCTGCATTAGTGATTCGGTATCTTAGTCTTTCTACTTCTTGAAATTGTCAGCATATTTTCCCTCTGCTGTGGAGTGTGGTGTTTTTGAAGGCTTGCACTAGCACGGGAAATCTCGTTCTGTTTGCCAAAAAACTGTCATTCTTCCTGCTTGACTTTTTCTAGGAATGTACCATTAATGAGATAAGCCAATTACATGAAAGTGAAACTTTACTGTAGCTCTCCCCCCCTCTTTCCCGCCTATAGCTGAGCAGGTGCCAGCAAGGCAGATGGAGTGAGCGGCATCGGTACGAGTTCTAGGAAGAGGCCCCATGCTAGATCCCTGCAAAATGCTGCTACCAGCCTGACAAGAAGTGGGAGGTGTGAGGGATTTTGCCCCTTCTCCTCCCTTGGTTCAGTTTTAAAAGTGAGCATGCAGAGAAGAATTAAGGTGCTCTGTAAAGCCAGGAAAACAGATCGTGTGGAAGTACATCCTGGCATCCAAAACAGCGCTGGCACATGGCAGATGAATATTGGACGCTGAGTTTGGAATCGCCGCCTGCTTGGGCTGTAACTGTTTGCATTGAGTTGCTTTTGACAGAGGGAAAAAAAGAGGGCCATTTTTTTTTGTTCTCCATAAATGTACGGTGTGAATGTCTCTTGTATGACTAAAAGGACCTGGTTACCATATGAAAACTTGCAGCCCGTAGTAGTGAAGGACTTCGAACAAAAGGAAGACAGGAAGTTGCCAGGGAATTTTAATCAGCAGTGGTTTGCCAGGAGAAGAGAATGGAAACAACGAACAACACCTGCTCTAGGAAAAATTGGGTGGTTTCTGGCCCTCAAGAGACTAGGCCTCAGCAAGATTGGGTCCTACAGATGCCACCTGTTCTCCCTCACTAACACTGTGTGCCTAGAAAGTTCCCCCCAGGCAGCCACATGGGTAGGGTCGCCAGCCTCCAGGTGGTAGCTGGAGATTTCCCGCTTTTACAATTGATCTCCAGGCAACAGCAATCCGTTCACTTGGAGAAAATGGCTGCTTTAGAAGGTAGACTCTATGGCATGATACCCCACTGAAGTCCCCCCTCTCCCTAAAACCTGCCGTCTTCCACCCCCAAAACCTCCAGGTATTTCCCAACCCAGAACTGGCAACTCTACACAGGGGGCCCTCTCCCTCCCTCTTTTAATTTAAACCCCTCTTAAAAACCTACCCCTTTTGTGAAGCTTTGCCCTGGCCTGTCCCCAGTTGAAATTAAGCCAAAGTATATTTCCCTTCCTTCTTTCCCACTGCTTCACTTTAAAGGCTGGGATTTCTGTATGTTACTTTATAAAGCGCCCTGTATGTTTCTGAAACAATGTGAGCCTCCTCTTCTGCAAAGGAAGGCTGCAGGCAGGACCAAGGCGTTACAAGCCGAACTGAGCAGTCTGTCTGGAAGTCCAAGCGTCTGACAGTCCTGGACAGAATTACAGCACATCTTTGAATAGAGACATGAAGTGCAGAACTAGACATGCTTCCCAGCTTTGCCTTTCTCACGTAACACTAATGTAGGGGCTGGAGGTCATTTGTGGGGCAGAATTAATGGATGGGGGGGGGACAGCTAACCTTTCCCCTGCCCACCTGTTGTGTTCTGTGAATCCCATCATTCTGCCACTTTAAACCTTCCACCCACAGACAGTCAGACTATGAAATAAGCCAGTGTAGTGTAGTGGTCAAGAAGAGCGTCGGATTGTGATCTTGGAGATGCAGGTTTGAATCCCCACTGTGGCCTGAAGCTCCTTGGGTGATCTTGGGCCAGTCATTCTCAGTCTAGCTTCTCTCATAAATTTGTTGTGAGGATACAGTGGAGTGGGGTATTGGTATATGCTTCTCTGAGCTACTTGGCTGTGGGCCAGAAACGTCAGAGGGCTTCATTGCAGATCTGTACGTCCCCCTGTCGTTTATTGTTGTCTACTGTTTCCATCCCTCTGCCTTCTACTGTCTTTATTCCACAAGCTGCTTTCGTCTTCCAGGCTCAATATGTACATGTCCTTTTGCCTTTCCAAGAAAATGGTTCTGATTATTTGTAGTGTGGCTCCAAGGTAGCTGCTCAGTGGCTCCAAGGTAGCTGCCCTTATGGAGAGCCCACATGGAGGAGGACCAGCGGGGTGGCTCTGGGCTGTTGCTGGCCAATCCGGTGCAGTGCTGAAAGGAATAACAGGAAGGCTTTTAGTTTTATTTAGCGTATTATGCGCTGAGGATCGGATCCTGAGATATAATAGAAATCTGACTTTTTAAAAAAGATTATTAACCCAATGTGGACATTGTCAGGGTGAAGAATAGTATGATATAAAGAGGACTTCCAGTGAGCCCCTCAATAATGGTGTCACTCTGATTTCCTCCCAGCTTATGCAGTTGGCACTGCAGATGCATATAAAGCAAACTGAATGGTTGTTTCAGCTATCAGTATTTCACCACCTTCCTGTTCACCATGGGTTGGCTTAAAAATAAATTTATATGCTACATGTTTATTTGTTCATTCATTGTTGTTGTTTTTTAAAGTTCAGACATGCTTTATGGGGTGGGGTTTTTTCTTGGTATAGGGGTGCCCCCCCCGTTGGGAAATTCCTGGAGATTAGGGGTAGAGCCTGGGGACAGTGGGGTGTGGGGAGGAACCGAAGGCTCTTTACACAGAGAGAGAGATTTGTTCCATTTGGGTGGTAGTCAGATGGCAGCCTTAACGCGATCTGAAAACGCTGCTAAATAATCCGTTTCTCCCTGAGACAGAATTTGTTCGCTCACACATTCCATCCTGGACCCATCACAATAACGCGATGAATCGATCAGATGCCTTCTCCCCCCCCCCTTTAAACTACGAGGAGAGCAAATCCAATACCTCATCCCGTTTCCAAGACAGTCCCCTCACACCCGCCATGTTTTCAGTTTTCCCGCCCAGGAAAACCGTTGGGATATGTCTGAGGAAAAAACAAGTTCCGGGGATGAGCTCTAGGGCAATACCGGCTGGCACAATGCGAGGGACTATTTTACCCTAGAATTCACCTTGGCACTTAGAACGGAGGGGTCTTTTTAAAATGATTTCGTAAACAAGGCAACAAGCAGGTAAACAAGGGGGAATTGTGTTAGACCAACCGGTTGGGTGACCAAGCACCAACACGGGAGTTTCACAGCCATCGGTCATATATGCACATATACGCATATGCGCACCTCGCTATGCCTTTAAAAATGGCTGAAGCTGGGGACAATTATCCCCAACTGCATGATTGCGTGACAGAGTGACCAGACATCCGGAGAGGTGCACGGAACCCGTAGAGAACTGTTTGAACCGGACTTAACCAGGTACCTGTTTAATCCAATTCAAACACAGGTGCCCACGGGATGCCGACTCCTCAATAACGGGGGGCAGATGTTGACGTCTAAACAGGCATTTTTAATCTGTCAGTTATTAGTACCAAAGCTGGATCAAAATGCATGTCTGACTGCACCCTAAGTGGAGTATAATGCCACAGGGTCAACCCTCCAAAGCAGCCATGTGTTCCAGGGGAACAGATCACTGTAGTCTGGAGATCAGTTGTAATTTCAAGAGATCTTCAGGCCACACATGAAGGTTTGTCAAACTCTCCCTGGCGACACTGGACTTTTCTGCAAAGCTGCAAAATTGCTCCCCCCCCCCCCGTCTCAAAGGTCCACATTGGAGAAGGGTGAATACAGTAAAGGCACTTGGAATCAGCCTCACTGTTCCAAGAACGTATTTCTTCCTCTTTACGTTGTTCAGTGGACCCACTGATCAATTCACTTCTCACCCTCACTTCTGTCCTTGTAGATCGACAGGACAGAAACAGCTGTGAACAACCTCAACCCAGCCTTCTCCAAGAAGTTCATCGTCGAGTACCGCTTTGAGGAAGTTCAGAAGCTGAAATTTGCTTTGTTTGACCAAGACAAGTCGAGTATGCAGCTTTATGAACACGACTTTCTGGGGGAGTTTTCCTGCACCTTGGGAACGGTGAGTTGTCGCTGCGTCCCATAATACTAAAATGTTTCATATCTGCTTCCTTCAAGCATTGCAGGCCCCTTGGCAAATTGATAGTAGTTTTGGCAATGAAAGAGAGCATTAAGTTGCCTTTGCGTGAAGGGGGCTTCTACCTGGAGATGATGCTCTGGGTAATTTCCGTTGCCACTACGAATGCAGAGGCATTTGTGTTTATTTTATTTTTTTATTCATTTATATCCCACCTTTCCCCCCATTGAGGACCCAAAGTGGCTTACGTCATTCTTGTCTCCTCCATTTTTTCCCTCACAACAACCATGTGAGGTGGGTTAGGCTGAGAGAGTGTGACTGGCCCAAGGTCACCCAGCAACCTTCTATGGCACGAGTGGGGATTCGAACCTGGATCTTCCGGATACTGGTCCAGCACTCTTAACAACTACACAGATTGGTAACAGAGTATCTACAAGGAAGTTTTTTTCCCCTTACCTCAGATACTACAGTTACCCATCCTTCTTTCCCACAGTTTTTTTTTTGTGTTTTTTTTTAATCAGCAATTGTAAAATTGTTATAATGTTATAGCAATCAATTGTCATGATCTTCAAGTTCCCCAGTTCTAAAAAAAGAAAAGAAACTCCCAGTGCATTTCTAGTCACCAGGGCCCAGCGGTGACATAAAGACAGTGAATGATGTAGTTAGGCCCTTGTGCCTGAGAAAACACAATCTGAAGTAGTTTGGTAGCTAAATGCAAGCCCTCACAATCCCATACAACCCTGAATCGAGCCCCCCTACTCCTGGCAGTACAGCCTTCTCAAGGGACTACGCCACCTTCATTTTCACATGAGTAACAGCTCCTTTGTAATCACCTCTGCTCTGTGTGAATATGTTCCCCAAACCTTCTTTTTGAGGGTTCTGAAGTGGGGCGTGAGGAGAATGTACAGCGTGCTGTGCTGATTGCTTTCTGAGGTGTTTGCTTGCTTGTATTTTGACCTTTGCTCCTTGGCTTTCTTAAGATTTTCCTTAATCCTTCTTATCCAGAGGTCTGAGAGCCTAGTGAATAGACTTCGAGGCGGATAATTTGGCAGTGGAGGAGAATGTCCGATTTTTCTCTCTTTTTAATTTTGTATTTACGTCAGACTGCTGTCGGCTTAGCTGGGCGGTCGTGATGCACCTGATTAATTCTGTGACTGGATTACGAGGAGTCACTGGTTCGTTCTGTGACCCTCTAGCAGCCTCAGTCACCGAGTGAACTAGAAAACCAAAGAGTTGGGGGGTAAATCCCTTGGCTTGAGGCATGAGGTGTCTGCCTGCTGAGATCAGGAAGAAAAGTCTGAACTACATTATGAAAATATCCCCTGTGGAGCTGTGCTATGAAAATGTCTGCTCCACTGTAGCCTTTCTGCCTCTCTTCTCAGCGGTAGGCAAACCTGAATGTTTTCCACACATTCCAGATTGACGTGATCGAGAACAGACTTCTGAACCAGGCACATTGAGTCCATGGCATGTCTGAGGCTACCAGCAAACACGTAGCTGAACAAGGATCTGAACTCCTTAGAACAAGCCTGTTGAACGCATTTTAGTATGTTACACACTTCACTTCTTTCCGTTCTCTTTCCTTAGATTGTCTCCAGCAAAAAGATGACAAGAGCCCTCCTTCTGGGAAATGGGAAACCTGCTGGAAAGGGAATGATTACGGTATAGTATCAAAGAGAAGGCTTGAATTCTGGATTTAAATCTCAGTCTGCAATTGGAAAACATTGTCCAAAGCAGAGCATTTGGGGGAGGCATTAATATTATTTAAAAGGTGTGCTTCATTTTGGCAGCACTCTTCCTTTTTTATCCTTATGATGTGGGCAAGGAAAATTGGATTCCTAGCAACTGTGAGGGGCAGGACAGAGATATGGGTGGGAGGTATAAGGTATGAGCTGTACCTTTCACAGGCAGGAAAAAACCCACACCTGGTTACTGAAGTCACTCCCAGACCCCAAATATATCCCTCTTAGACCTCAGTTGTATTACTTGTTCTTCTTATTATATGAAGCTCCTCTTCTGCCATTACACTGACCTTGCAAAAGACAAAAATAATAATAATTTTTTGATACAAAAATGCTTGATGATGACTGGAAATGAGCATCAAAATAGACGCTCACATTCTTAAAGAGTTAGGTCTGGGTTCCCAGCAGCTGACTCGCTTTTATTACAAAATAAAGGTAATAGGTAGTAAAGGTTTCCCTTGCTTGAAAGCCAGTCGAATCCGACTCCAGGGGGCAGTGCTCATCTCTGTTTCCAAGCTGAAGAGCCAGCACTGTCCGAAGACTTCTCCGTGGTCATGTGGCTGGCATTACTAAATGACAAGATGCGTGGAACGCTGTTACCTTCCCACCAAATTGGTACTTATCTATCTACTTGCAATTTCTTGCTTTCGAACTGCTAGGTTGGCAGGAGCTGGGACCAGAGACGGGAGCTCACTCCGTCATGCAGCACTAGGGTCTCGAGCTGCCGAGCTACCGACCTTCCAGTCTGCAACTCAGTGTCTTAACCTCTGAGCTACTGCGGCCCCTTTACAAAATAAAGGAGAACCCAAATGGGCTCAGAATGCTGCTCCGGGGAAGGAAGGCTCTTGCCCTCACCCAAGTCATTTCCCTGTGCAAAAAAACTGCTGCAGGGGAGTTATTTCCCCATTTTTGCTCCTCCATTGTCACAGAATACTTCACACAGAGCAGTAGAAATAGAGGAAATAGCCCCCCCCCCGTGCTGTTTTGGCACAGGAAAATTATGGGGGGCGGAGGGCAGGAACCCTTCCTCTCCCCCCCTCCCCCAGTGGCATCCCTAGCTCTTTTGGACTTTATTTTTTAAAATAAGCTGTAGTGTGGCTATGCAGAACACATATTTGGTCCAGAGAACCCCAGACCCAACTCTTTAAAAACCCAAAGGTCTGTAGAGTTTGGCTTTGAAGAAAGTCGGGTCCATGGGGCAAAAGTGAATGGCAAGGTCTACAGCAGGGAGAAGCTTTATATGCACGTTTGGGCTTCCACATGAGTAAGGAACTCCTGTATGAGTATGACTTGCAGAGCAGGGATACATATGCGCATTATCAGTTACACTGAAATGTTTGGGCTTGCAATCTTTATTTGGGGGTGCAGAATTTGGAGTTGTTCCACAGGGTGATCCAGAGTTCAGGCTTTATACTTATTATCCCTACCACGTAGCTCAGCGAAGCTGGGAGCCTTCCTCCAGCCGGAATTAGCACTCCTCCAATCTAAGTGGGGGAAGGGTTGCCAGCTTCACTGAATGGAGTGGCAGAGTACAGGCCATTTGTTCGCAGTCTTGACTTCTGCCTCACAGCACTCCAATGGTATACAAGAAGTCAAGACATAGTTCAACACGTTTGAGCCCCAACAATTTGTTAGGAAAAACTACGTTTCAGTTTTCCACAGTGGGAGCAGTTGATAGGCTTTTCACTGGGTAGTATCTAAAGTAGTTACATGATTGCAATTTTTAAAGGAAATCATCTGTCCAGAGAGACAGAGATGCATACCCCTACGCTAGTATATTTCTTCAGATTTTTGCGCTGTCTGCCTAATTGTGTCTGAGACCACACCAAGGTAAAAGGCCTGATTTGTGAGGATGATAGGCAGCCAGTTACTTGTGATACAAGGGCTGGGACTTCCTACCTAGCAACAGGTCTCTTAGCAACAAGTTTTCTTCTCTTGGACACAGAACTACGCCTTTTCCATCGTAGATGCGCCTGGCTAGTTCTGTAACTGAACAGAAGCAATCTCAGCTTCTAAAATATATGCTTACAAAATCAGGAAATGGACAGCTTGTTCTGCACTCATAGAATGAATATCATGAGTCAGAGGGTTCCCGTGATGTCGTACATATTCGACAGGTGGTCTTTAAACAGTGCCCTAGAATCCACCATCAGTCTTTCTAGTTTCCTGACACCATATTATAAAATAAAAAGTTGGAAGAGCCAGAATGTTTCAACCACATTCTGAACCGCAGGCGGTGTTATTTTTTTCAGTTTTACTTTTTAAATGTAAGCTAGAATGTGGCTTGCCTCTTCAACCATAGAAGCGACAGTAGTGGAACTTTCTGAGAAATTTCTTCCTTCTGTGTTTGGGTGCATATTGTGCATGCATGTACCTGCGTGCAATTTGCTGAAGGGAACCATTGCACAGTGACAGTGTCAAGTGATTCTGACACTGCAAGCATCTGATTTCCGCAAAGACTGTCTAAACAGAAATGCAGGAACCCCACTGTCTCTCCTGTTGGCTCCATAACAGCCCTGTATTGTTAAACAAGTAGCTGGCTCAATACGTTCATCAGCGTGTGCCCTCCCCCATTGCTCATGGAAGCATGTGCAGCTCCTGGTGGACCCATGGCTTGGAGGAATGGCATGTAAGTGCCAGCTGTCTCAAGCAGCATCCCTGCATGGAAGGTGTTGCAGACTCCCTGCCACTTATGTGACCGCAGCAGCTCTTTTCTTCTAACAGGCGTGGTTATACCAATGATGGAGGCCACCGTCCAGTGCAAAGTGTCATCAGTTATACAGACGAATGTGTAGGGGGGATTGGGATTGTGCCCACAGGCTTCTATCCCCAAATCCCGTGCAGTCAAGGCCCTGTTTGCATAGGCTGGGAGACAATGTATGAACTGTACCCCTGTTTTTTCAAGGTATGGATTAGTGTAGGTCCCAGTGCATGGAGAGTCCCAGTGTGGAGCAGAGTCAGCAGGCATGATAGAACTGTGAAAACGTAAAGGTGTGGAGCAGAGTCAGCAGGCATGATAGTAATTGTCTGTGGATTTATTTCTACACTTGGCAGCTGTCTGCACAGACCTGTTGTGTGGCGATCCCTCACAAAAGAACCAGTTTATACTATTTGAGCCCCCTCTGATTCCTGCCAGGCCTCGCTTTTCTCCTTAGCATTGGACAGTTCCACAAGGATGGCATGGTTTTCCCAACCCTTTCTTAAATGCATCTGTTTGGATCCAGCGATGCGGAAGCAGAAACTAACCCAGAACTAAACCGTCTTAGCACGGTAAAACTGCACTTGTATACAAGGGGATGTTACACAGTTACAAGCGTCATTCCTATGACGAGGTACATCTAAAAGCTGAATGAAATACATGTAAACCAAACCAAACACCGTGAGGCCATTCTCACATTAAATCACTTTACATTTAAATCGGTTTAAATTCCAATTTTTTAAGAAACATTGATTTGTATCCACCCTGGCAGATAATCACGTGGTACCTGCTTTACTTCTTCTTTTTCTTTGCGCTAATTAATGGGTTCTTTTCTTCTCCTGAACATCTGATAGCTGATGATATATTTGTGTGTGTGTGTGTTGTTTTCCCAGTCTGTTTTATTTCAAAGGGTTTGTTTTGAGAGCCTTATTCTTTGTAAACTGCCGTGGGGGCTTTATTATTTTCTTTAACAAAGTGGAAAGATGGGATATAATTGGTTGGGAGGACACCTGATAGATACCAACCTTGCTGAAGCGAAGGAGGTCTGGATGGAGTCCCCTGATGGGAAGCTGCCTCCGGCATCCCCTGCCTTGAGTTCTAACAGGAAATAAAATACAAATTAAGCAAATAAACAGATGCATTTTGAGAATGTTGCAAGTAGATTCTTCCACCATAATGTTGCAGTGGTCTCAGTAATTTGTTTAAAAAGCTCCAATAAATGTAGCATACAACACAGGAAGCAGCTGTTGTTAATTTTTAGTCCATGTGGATGGTGAAATGGAAAGGCTGAGTGTATGTCTATTTGTTCCTGTGGCTAGAAACTCTCAATGGCATCTTAGTGGGTATATTATTGATCACAAGTTTTGCTGTCTCAAAACTCTGCATTCAGGCTCTTCTCAGGCGGGTGTGCATGACCTCTATTCTCCCAAAGCAAAAAAGTGGGTGGTATAATGAACAATCCTATACCCACTGATTTGGGGTTAAGCCCCATTAAATTTTCCTTCTGACTGAATGTGCAAAAGGGGTCACCCTCCAAAAGGGGCCCCTTCCTTAGCATTTGTGAGATAATCTGATTTGAGCCATGCTGAACCTAGAACAAGATTGTGCATTGGAGAAGAAGGAGCCACCCCCAATTAAATTTTCTTATACATTGCCATGGGGATCCTGCGGGACTGAGGGGCAGGGCAGAAATAAAATCCACTATATACATTGACTCTGGTGTCACCTGTCAGGTGCATGTGGTCTCTGATGGTAGTACCATGCCCAGTATTTCCTGCACTACAATCCTTCCCTCTATTACAAGTGATTTTGATTGCATGGGTTCAGTAGGAAATAGAAGGCACACACTCACAATACAGTGGGTAGGACCAGCTGTAATTGCCAGAGTAAGGGCATCTTACTCTGGTATAAAAGAGGAAGAGTCCTGTAGCACCTTAAAGACTAACACAGCTACCCATCTTGATCTATCTCAATTGATGCTATGCCTGTGGAACTCCCTGACCTAGAAGGCTCCTATTATCTCCTTGCATTTAGCCTTCTAGAGTTCTCTTAAAGGTATTTTGGTCCAGAGGGAATTTGTAATATATAAAGGGACCTTTTCTCCTGCTGATACTTATTGGGGTTTTTTAAACTACTCTCTATCAGTTTTGTTGCTTTTGTTAGTCTATTTTTCTCTAGAAGCTTCTCAACCTGTAGCTGGCAACCCTAAAGTCAGGTTATGG